CGGCACCCGGGCGCAGGCAGCACGGGCTGGGTATCTGCCCGGGCAAAGTTCCGCATGAGTGGAAGCTGACCTGTGCTGCAGCGCAGGGGATCTGTAACAAAGTGATCTGGTAAAGCAACAGAAAAGCAAATACTTGTGGCAGGGGAGGTTGAGTCGTTACGGACAGTGACCCAGGAAAAACCTAGAGAAACAGTCCCAAGTCCAGTGGCATGAAACACAGCTTTTACTGGAAGTACTGGGGCTGGGCCTTCCTTGCTTGCGTTAGTCATCCCCTGTGGATGCAGAGTATGAGTGTCTGCAGCTTTAGAGCATAGGTCACACGTCTAACTGTCATCAGTAAACTTACTTTTGCAAACGCTCACTTAGAAGGGCTACCGTCGATGGGGAAGGTAAGGAAGTGTGTCAATCTCTGCAGCACAGGGACCTCCACTGGTACAGGTGCATCAGGCCAAAGCGCTGTAGTGTCAGAAAGCTCCAGGCGGGAGATTCAGGCAGGGGCTGATGCAGTGGCTCTGCCGAGCTGCCCCGAGGCAGCCCTGCTCCGAGAGCCCCGAGGTGGGATATCTGGGAGCCCAAGGTAGGAGCAGATCACAATAATCCCTGCTGCATAGCAGAGCCGTGACCTGCCTGGAAGTGTGGATGCAATATACATTGCTTCCCCAGCCCCAGTTCTCACCTATTTCAGAGAGAAGTCACTGGAGTTCACATTCAAAATCTCTTCACAGTGTGGTCACGTTACTAACAATGCAATTTGCTTTGGGGTTTGGCAGGTTAAAACCAGGTGTTAAGATAAAAACTACTCAAATTCTGATCTGATTTACTATATAACAGGCAGTAAACTATTTAAAGTGATTCAGAGGATTATATCCCTGCCTCTGCACAAAGCAATAGAGCATAGTTAAATATAAAGAAGGATTTTTATTTGCTGATAGAAGTGTGTACTATCTATTTCAGTACAGGAGCAGCAAACAACTGGCAGAAATGTCAGTCTAGCTCAGTATCTTGGAACTATCCAAAATAAAAATTAAGATGAAAAAATACTTTCCGTTATCACACTGCTCTCAGAGAATAAATATAATTTCTATTCTTATTTTCTACTTGTTCCCAAATTTCAGCACCCCTTAGAAAGACTGTAGCACTCCTGACATGCTTTCTATTTCAAACAAAAATTGCAGTTGTTTTTCTTTTTCTCATTAGCATGCTATTCCACCAATTCTAAATCAGTAAACCTGGGCGGCTTTTGATATAGTAATTTGATTAAACCAGAACATTGGTTTGTTGGATGAAACCTCAGTTTTGAAAGGAACTCTGTGTTGCACTGAAGTAGCAGCAGTTGCAGGGACAGTCATGCAAAATAGCAATGGCCAATGTAGTTAGAAAATATCTTTCTTACCCTGTAAAGCTGCAAAACTACATAGAGCTCAGAAACAGATTCTAAAAGGTATAGGCCACCTTGAGGGAGTGAAGTGTTATTTAAATGTTTTGTAATTGTCCCATACTCCTACAGAACAGCAGTTTTCTGGAAATTTAGAAGACATACCTTTGAAAACAGGACTCCTACATTACTGTGCTGATCCTTCTTTCTCATTTCCCAGACAACTAATGCATGCATTTAAAGGTATACGTATAAATAGCCATAAAGTCGTGGGGTGACCCTAGTCTCGAGTGAAAAGTATAGGGGCCCCAGTTCTGGAAACGTTTGTCTGCTCACATTTCCACAGTTAACTGCCTTTATCTTCAAAGCAACTCACTGAACAAAGAGAAAGTGCTAACAAGAAAACCGTATTGTGCTTCAAAAGAAAAGGGGGAAGAGCTGCTAAATTTCTACACTGTCCAGCTCTTATTCATCCTTAGTCACAATATCACCAAAGCAAGGTGGGAACTGTTAATACTGCCCCAACTCTCCCAAATTGTGTAGTATTTATCAGGTATTTACTAGTAGAGTACTCCTAAAAAAAGCAAACCCCAAAATAAATAAAACCCAACCATACAAGTGCCTCCTCCCAATATACTGCTGTAATTTGCAGGTGGGTCAGCCAAGATCTGAAATAGCAGTGGATTTCATTTTAATACACTGGACAGTAACTGAGGCTTCTGACACTCACAGGCACTGAACGTATGCATCTCTCCTGAAACTTAAACAGTGCAGGATGCTTCTAGTTGTGGGGAAATACCATAAAAGATTTTAGAACACAGAATTCTGGTTTTTATCAGTTATTTTGATGCTAACTATCAACTTCCGCCTTGGAAGCAGAAATTACCATAGTAAAAGAAACAGAGTAGAGAATCCTCTTAACAGGCAGTGTGAAATTACTCACTCTTTGAAAAAGCCATCCCAGCAGGGTTAATGCAAGGGAGATTAGTTACATACAAAGCTGTATTAAAATGGGGCTAAGTCTAGCAACTTGGCTAGTCAAAAGTACCAGAAGAAAGTCAAACCTCAGAAAATGAATTAATTTTTCTCAGCTTCCACTAGACAAAAAAGAAAAATCCTCCCCCCAGCTTTTTTTAACACTCAGAAAGCCCCTGATGAGCTCATGCATATTGCCCTATGTAACAAATATGGAGTGAAAAAAACAGGCCACCAACTTCTGAAGGCATCAGCCCTCTCATCCATAGGCATCTATGGATTAGAGATAGGAGAAGTTGCTTTCCAAAAATAAAATGTGTTATAAAGATAACAGGAGAAAGCAGAGACAATTTTTTCCCCCAGGGTTAAGTCGTAAAGCTTCCACAAGTCCTGTATGCAAATAACACGTTCACACACCAGAGCTGAGATTACAAACCCATAAGGTATGTCTGCTGAAAATTTTCAGTTGAAAGAAGTTGACCCCTTATGAAGAATACTCTGATACAGGAAGAATCAGAAGCCTGAGAATCCCAAAATCACAGAAGTTTTTTAAGAAACTAAAGTTCCTTTCACTTTGCCCTTGGAACACAGATGAAAACAGTTTTTATAAGTCTCCTTAGAGGCCTGTTGGTGAAAGAATTTTGGAGGACTCTGTAGGAGTGAAGGAGAGGGAGGAGGTAGAAAGGTCTCTTAAATGCCAGGGCAATGCAAAAGGAGAGAAACAAGAAAATTTGGGCTTATCATAATTCTTATGGATTCTGCTAAGCTTATATATACCCCTGACTGGTTTATTTTATTCCCATTTACTGCTTAGTTCAATCTAAGTTTTCAGTTTGGTTGTAAAAACTATATTTTAGATTAAGGTGCAGAAGGTAGAAGAGAGCCTCTGTGAGTCATTTTAGGCTGAAAACAGCTGCTGTTTGAATGTACATGTTGCAAAAAAGCACCTATCACCCTGCCTATGTGGAAGCCCCTAAAGTGCTTCCTTTCCACTCTTGGCAGAGGAAAGGAAACTGCTCAGTGGCAAAAAGGAAAGCGATTGAGATGCATGCAGAAAGCTAAATGACTGTTGACTTCTTTTTTCCTATAAGACACACCAGAATTTTTACATAGTAACTGGATTGCTTTTAGCCAACGTAGGTGTTTGGTGCTGCTGAAAAGTCCAATTTTGAGAAGTGATCCCTGCTTCTTGTAAGTGTACCAGGAAGTCCATCTCCATGAGCGACAGCAGAGGGCTTCCATCAAAAAGTGTTGCATTTCTGTGCCCCTGCACTGTATCAGCATAGCTCGTTTGTATATAGGTGAAAGCAGGTGGTGGAGAGGTTTCTTTGCATGAGGGAAGGCTATGTCTGTGCACAGCTAAGTTTTACTGGTATTGGTCATTTAGAAAGATATTTCCTTCTTTCATTATATCCCATTTTCTGCATGTCTCTGGATGTTTGCTTGCTTTGTGTGTGTTCTGTCTTTGCCAGTTCCCTTAGGTTTCTCTGCTGTGCCCAGGTGCTGTCTGTGGGTACATTTGTGGCACCTGGGTACATTTGTGGTAATCTTCACTCTCCCTTTTCTGTTTGCTCTTGCCCAAGGTTGTTCCTCCCGACTCACCTGCAAAAGGCTTGACTTCTCATTCCAAAAAGGGGAGATTTGGGTGCTGAAAGTAGAACAGTGGGTGTCCCATGTGTACAGAGCATTTCCAGGTGTGGCTTTGAGGACAGGCGAGGCATTTCAGTAACTATTTTTTAATGGACTTTCTATCTCAGTTTTTAGTAAGATATTTCTCCCAGGCAAAAGGAAACAAATCATGCTAATTTGACACATCCATTTGACTGCTTCTGTTAAGGCCTTACCTTAACTTTGACCTTTTAGCATCATTTCACTGGGATTCTGAGAAGAACGTCCTCAAAGCTTTGTTGGGAAGAGAGTCAGAGCACTGAATGGGGGAAGTGACAGGCTGAGCATCCATACCCGCAGTTTCTCAAGTGCTATACTGCTTTTTTAGCAGCTTCTTCTCCAGGTGCAAAGAAAGCCTTCCTCATTTTAGCTTAGTAAGTAACACTAAATAAATTTTAAAACAGGTGGCTGGTTGGTAAGGAAAAAAAATGCTTTTCACCTTCTCATTTCTGAACAGACGAGGGGATCAAAAGAAGTGGCTACTTGTAGAAGTCAGCAGACAGTGGTCATACTCGTAACTTCACTTACTTAGCCACAGACAACACTTCCTTCACTTGAGAGTCCAGTTTGAAATCCAAACCCATGTTCAGTAAGTTAATATTTAAGACAATTGAAAAGTTTTCTGCACCTAACTGAAGTGACACTTGACGTCCAAGCGGTTTAACACAAAATCATGAAGACTGAATTAATCAGCCACCCTCTCAAAGGAAAAAAATTAAAGATGTAACAATAAAAATAACCAAACCTCAAATTATTAGAGAATTCTTTAAATATGCTCATCCCTTATTGTTGGCAGTAACAGATACAATCAAATTTGCATTAAGCTGCGATTCCAGAGTGTTCAGAGATAATCAACCATTCAGATTTAATCTGTTTCAAATAGCCAAGACAAAACTAAAAATAAATTAGTCTAGTCAAAGTTTTGCTGATTAAAAATGTGAGTGAATCTGTGATCAGTGGGATTTTTAGTCCACGCAGTGCACCATTGGTATGAGGATTTGGGAATCTCTTTGTATTGTACCTCATTACCCACTAATATCCTTTCCAAAAAAGGTACCCTGCCACCCCTCTCCATCACAAGTTGGCCCGTTCTGCCGTTTTGCGAAGGACAATAACATTGCTCTATTTCTTACCAGGCATCATTTTCCCCCCTTCCTCAGTATCCCTCCCAGTGTGTATCTGAGTCTTTTGTAAAATATGAATTTATTTTTTTTTAAATTGAAGAGAAGCAAGAACAGTGAATTTAGAGCTAAGCTTAGATGTTAAGACTTCAAACTCTTCAAGTCAAGGGCTGCTTTGAACTATAATTAGGCATAGAATCATCTGTTACAACACTCATGTATGGGCCTGCTCTCAAGCATTAATGTTCAAATAATCAGTACTTTGTAGTGGAAGGGTTCATAGCATTAAATCCATGTCCTCATTGTCCATTAAATCTTCTGGAGTAAGTAATACCTTTAATAAGGGGGTGAATATCATGTATATGTTCAGCAATAGCGTAACGGTACTGATGTAACTGTGCAAGTAGTGAAACACACCTTGACAGATTTCTTTATGTAACTTGCTCTTCTTCTCTCCAAGGTGGCAGCCTTAATTATTGAAACACGGTGCGAAAATGAGACTGAAGCTCTAATTCGCATAGCGTACAATAAATTAATTACAAGGAGGATCATTGCTAAGAGACAAGTTTATTGTGACTGGGACGAATACGATCTTGATGTTCAGTGTTGCAAGAAATGTGAACGTGGTGAGTATCATTATAAGACTGTGTTGAAAAGTCATTAAAAGTGAAAACACAACATGCCTAGTTGCTTTCTGCTGGGGTAGCTAAGTGGCATGCTGTGGGTTTCTGGAGGTAATGCTCCATTCTAGCCGTATCTTTCTCTACTAGAGGACATGAGACAATTCAAAGTATTTCTTGAGCTGCGTGAACCAGTAACTTTTTACTACAGACAGTAGTTCTCACAAAACATGCTTGTCACAAACGAGTGAAGAATTACGAACACATCTTTGAAAGAAGTTAAAAAATTGCAAGCACAGGCTTTTACCTGGAAGACCCCATATATTCATGGGTTTTCCAATTTCAAATATACAGTTTTGTTTGGTGTGTCCTAAATTGGAGGAAGAAGGGGGATAATCAGGTCTTGTGTATGCTACATTCCTGAAGAGCATATACGTACCCGTAAAGAATGTAGATTCTATCCATACTTGTAAATCAGAAAGTATTAGGGATTAAAAAGAAAGGCTGACATAGGTCTTAAAGCTGATGGCTTCTGTCCAAAGATACTGCAAATCCTAATTCTTGGTTTTCTCTCTGTACAGGTTTTGTTAAAAATATCACCTGCCCAACAGATATTAGCAAACACTGCGTTCCATGTGAAAATGGAAAGGAGTACATAGATCATCTCAATGATTTGGCCAAGTGTTTGAGATGCTCTTCATGTGACAGCATATTTGGTACGTCTGTAGAAATAGCTACTGTAGTAATGACTCCTCCTTGATACAGGATTTGACTGAAAAATTTCCACAATCCCTGAAGAGTGGGTAGCAAGCATGTGTTTTAGTGGTAGTACATGCAGGAATTCATGTTTAAGTTGTAAGTTTATTCCTCAGTTCCCTTTCATCAAGCACAAAGTAGCAAAAAGAACAAGCTATGTTGGTCCATTGTTTCTCCTTACATGTGCCTTTTCTCAGCCAAAGCAGACCCTATACAAACTGGTTAGAATCATGGAAGAAAAGCTCTCAGTCTTCTTTTTCCTCTATTTTAAAGAAGAGCGGTGTTGTAAAAGCAGAGGTGGGAGATTTCCCAATGATTTCCTCCATAGTCATTCATGTAATTAATAATATTATTTCAAATTGCTGGAGCTAATAAAGTGATGTCTTTTATACATTCAAGATGCTGTGTGGGATATAGGGTCAAATTAGGAGACTATGAGGCATGCCTTACTGGGTCAGACCAGTGGTCCGTCTACCCCAGTATTCTGAGTTCATCAGTGGAGGCAAGAGATGCTATTCTGAGAAAGCACAAAGAAACCTTGTCTACTTTCTATGGTCTATTCCCTGCTAAGCCTACCAGCATCCACAGTTGTAGGAAAGGACGTTAGAAGGTCCATCCCCATCTAGTCATTTTAGATCTATCTGTGAGCCATTTGTGCATGAAACTGCTGGTGGGCACCAGGTTCCTCAAATTCACTAGTTGTTGCATAAATATTCACCATAGATTTTTTTTTCCTTTTTTTTTTTTAACTGGTTAACCTGATCTCCTACCAGTTCTACCAGCTGTCCTGTAGTTCTGCTGTACATGGATTTAGGGAATCGTAGTTCTGCATTCCTCATGTTGAAAATCAAGCTTGGTGAGTGGAGAGGTAGCTCTTTTCATTAGCTACTATAATAAGCATTTCTGAATGGGTAATGAAATTGAATAAAGCAAAGCAATTCAGTATTTTGACCAGAACCACCAAGGAAACTATTTGTTAAACTGAAGGGGAAAAAAAAGTGTCACTAATGGGATTACTAGTCACATAATCCCACGGACAGTAATGTAGCTGAAGAGAAGCCAGTAGAAAACACCAGGCAGGAGGAAAACTGTGACTGGTTCCATGAGAACCATTCTTAGGATTGTTCATGTTTGATATTTCCATGAATGGCTTCAGCATTGGTTTCACAGTAGAGCTTCATCAAATTTGAAAGAGAACTTAGTTTCCTGTTACGGCAGGGCACTGATTTTGACAACTCTATTCCTATAGGACATCTTTCCTAGTACAGTAATATTTAATGCAGGAATAATGTTTCATAGACGGAAAGAGCTTCATGATATACACTGAGGGTAGGAGAAAATAAATACACTTCTTTTGATACTGAAGTAGGGATTATGTGAGCTAAGGAGAGTGGAATTCCTCACCACCACTGGAAGTCCTCAAGAAGAGACGAAACGCTCAGAAAGAGTAAAGAACCTATCTCTGACATCAAGCAGGGAGATGGGCTACATGATCTGAGTTTCCTTCTGGCTTTATGCTTCTGCATGGGAAAAAGTAGCTGACAATATTTGGCAGTGCAAGACGAGTCCTCTTCTAGGAAGTACTTTATCCTGTGATCAGTTTTTTGAGCTCTTGGCCAGCAGAGGTCTCTTTGCCATCTTCGTGTTTCCAGCTGTGTTGTGCTTACAATTAAACCTCACCTGTGGTAGAGCTAAAGGCACCTAAGTCTGAGGACACGAGCTTGCGAGCAGAGGCCCACTCTTAAGATCTGCTTTTTCAAACTAACAAACTTTAAGAAATGTATTTTAGGTTTGGAGGTTGCAAAGAACTGTACACCAGCACAGAACACGCAATGCACCTGTGCAAAGAACTATTTTTGCAATTCTTCTGTACCATGTAGGCATTGCGATCCGTGTACCATGTAAGTTTATGCCTTCATCATTTCATATAAAATTGCTAATATCCTATATTATCACACGTTTTCCCAGCCAGTTTCAAGACAGAGAATAAGAATAACCTGAGGGAAAACAGTTTTCCTCCACACTTAACTTGTTGAGCTGACTTAGCTCACTCAACTTGCGTCCATGCAGGCTTTCCAAAGGCACACAGAAAAACTTGTGTACCTCCTCCAAGTCTGTATATACTTGTCAAAAAATGTAATAAAGTTTCTCAGCTTTTCTGTTGTCTTTGTGTGATCCACTGTTATATCTAGAAAATAATTTCCACACCTTTTTCCACTCCCATACCTTTCCATACCGTTTTCATACCTATTAAATTCCAAACTCAGAATCTTGACATATGGAATATTTAACTGATAAAAAGTGTTAGAAGATTTTTATTTGCTCTCTTGAGTGTTGATAAAGAGAGATACAAATCCCATGATAATTCTCGTTCATGTCTTCTGCAGATGTGAAAGTGGTGTAATTGAAAAACAATGTACTTCAACTTCAGACACTGTGTGCGGAGTGAAAGGTACCATTTTAAAACTTAGCATGGTCTAGCATCTGCTGTATTTTGAGAGGCTATTGCATTTGCACTGTTCTACACAATGGCTCCTAGCGATTCCTGACAGCTAAGGGCATCGTATCTACCAGACCCTGTACTGACCTGCAAAGCATGACTACTCTTTGCCCTTGATCACTGTGCAGATATAGGAGCGATTACTCCTTTTCAGGGGTGACTCATAATAGGTAAGACTTTAACAAAAATGTAGCTTCTGCCATTAGGAGACAACAGAAAGGCTTTTATAATCTGATGTACTCTTGTTTAAAGTTTAGAGAATGCTGCTGTACTGCATTTCTTGACTTAACTCTCAGGTAATGTTTCCAATGTTCCAACAGAAACAGGAGTGCTACTATGGGCCATTCCTTTGGGAATTCTGTCACTGATTCTACTACCTGCAGTAATATACTTTGTGTGTAAGTGATTTCCTAGTCCTTATACCTATCATACTCTGAATAAGATATTCAGTTGCTTACTTGGATGTAGTTTTATGTTCTTGGCATCCAGAGGAGATATATACACTGTCCTGGATTTTAAAAATGCTTTTTTTGTTTCAGACAACAGAAAACAGAAGGCTGTTAATAGCAAGAGCCTCAATGATAAAATACCCGAACCAGACATTTCTGATGTAAGTATTATTGCTCAGATCACAAAAAATCTCAGCTTTATGCAAGGAGCTTTGTTCCATTTAAATTACAGTGGGATTCCACAAGCATGTGCATTCCTCTCATGATATTTTTGAAGTAAATTTTACCATGAGCACTCTTGTAGAGAAATAAGCGAAATCTGGATTATTTCTGCAGGATTTGTTAACATGCTTCCTTATGTTACATGACCAAGGTCAAAACGTCGTAAATCGTCAGGCCTCCGCTGCCCCAGGGTACCTGTCCCAGTGCATACTTTTAGGCAATAGTGATTGTGAGGTAATTCTCCAGCCTTACTCAGATCAGAAGAGGTCTGTCTGTCCAGTCTCATTCCCTCACTCATCAAAGAGGGGAATCATGGAGAAAACTAAAAGAAAATTACAGGAGTCAAGTGTCATGAAATGTATTTATCCTCTTATAAAAGGTCAATGTTTTACAAAGGTTGTTTCTACTCATTTCTCTCTTGCTTCTCTTTTCAGGAGATTGTACCTCTCAGAGAAGGTAAGAGACAAGTAATTTCTCAAAATTTAATAAAAGAAGAAAAGTAGAGACATGCAAATACTACGCTGAAAAAAAGGGTATTTTTGTGTAGACTTTGCCACTGCCTGGAACTGTCATTCTAGCACAACAGTGAACGCTTATTAAAGAAATGCGAGTTCATATTGTGCTTATTCAGGCATTTAGTTGATATCATGAAAGTTTTGCCTCAGGAGAAATTTCTGCTGCAGAGGAAGCAATTACAATTACTATTTGACAACAGTTCTGTTCCGCACGTGGTACAGCCACTAGGAGGCAGGATTTCTATAATCATGGATAATTATAGTGGAGTAGTCCCACATGCAGCAGTGGGATCATGGGAACACAAACCTACCTTATGTTCAAAGGCAAATCCACACTAGCTACACATAGTAGAAAAAGAACATAAGCTCCAAGGCTGTATCACAACAAAAGATCTGTCCTGTTCCAGGACCTTTCCCAACACTGTTTTGATGAAAACAGGTACATGATGACCAGACTTTAATGATAGAGGAGGTCAGAATAGGTTACAGAGGAAACTGAGATTCTATTTCAAGTGGTAGGAAGCAATGAATTACCTAGCATGAACATGTAAAAGCTATCTATTGTAAAATATCACATATAAAACAGACTGGGTCATGAATACCTGTAACTTCATTTGTTTTGGCTAGAGAAAGTATCAGCTCAGCGCAAGTGATAAAAACCAGCTAGATGTATGTGCCAAGAGCACTCATTTCCATTTATGCTTTTAGATGTCGACCTGAGCAGCCATGTTGTTGATATTGTGGAGGAGCTGACACTCGAAGACACATTGAAATTTGTTCGTTACCACAAAGTATCAGAAACTAAAATAGATGAGATTTATCATGATAATAATGATACATCTGAACGGAAGATCCATCTTTTTCGAGCCTGGCTTCAAAGACATGGGATGAACGGAGCCTATGAAACCCTGATAAGAAGCCTGAGAAAGCTTGACATGCGTGCTGTAGCTGATAAAATTGAGAGAAAACTGCAGGAAGCTGTTTCCAACTGTGCGTAAAGGGGGATAGTTGTACAAGGATGACACTCAGCAAAGCAACACAGGGAGCACTCAGGAAGGTAGAAGCTCTACAATTACAGTGCTGAGCTAAATAAAACCTGTTCTGGAAGTTTGGAAGAGACATAGCACAGAGCCATTTGACTGAATTGGTATTTTTCTAATAATATAAATAAGAAAACTTTAAATGCCATTTTCATTGGCAGTTCTGGTTGATTCAAGGAAGTTATAATATGAACAAGGAGTAATTATGATTTTTGTAGCAATATTTCTCCTTTTTAAAAAAGGGCTTTTTGGTTATTAAGAACTGTGAGGAGAAGTTTTATGGCTTACTTACTAAAAGGTACTGTATAAGTGTCCAGCTATAGGAAGAAGAAATAATGATATGGTATGGTCCCGTGTTACCTAAGTGATGTAGTGTTTTGCTTACATGAAACTTGTAGGATGTTGCATTTTTCAAAGTGAAATCTCTGGTATTAAGATTCTGTGAAACATACCACAAAGAATACTTGAACAAAAAAAAAATCTAATACACAGCTGATTAATTTTGAATAGTATTGAATTACGAAGGTGTTGCTGTGTAATTAAATTCTAGGCTACTGTAAATGGGATTTCTCCCTTGTACAAAAGCACCTTTGTATGTGTATATGGAGTTTTGTATATATGTGTGTGTATTTATGTGTATATACATGTGCAAGTTTTCCATGTAAAAACTCCCAGTGCCAAGTAAAAGTTATTTTCCTCATGCTCTGCAATGACTGCAAGCCTCTTCTAACGCTAAAAGCCTTCAAAGAAGCAGGACCTGAAGCAGCACAGCAGAGCCATGATTTTTGGAAGGCAACCTAGAGAAGCTATGAGGTCTCCATAAGCAAATGTGCAACACTAGCTCTTCTAAGGCAGGAACTGATATAATGAAAACATCATTGTCATTAAATAAAAAATCCACATAGTGCATGGCTTCCATCTTTCCTTCTTATCACGCACCCTACAGATGTCATTTTATGTTTTCTTTTACTCAGGTTAGTAAATCACAGAAGGGGAGACGGCTTTCCTGAAAAAACTCACCTCACCTTTCTTCCACCACAGAGGGCTCTGCTTCCATGTTCAAAGAGCCAGTCGTGCAGCCTTTCAACAGCAGAGGAAACCTCGGTAGAAAGGCCAGATTTCTTCAGGTCATGCAGTGAGCAGGGTGCCTCTTTGGCTCAGGCATCAGTTGCATAGAGAGAATCTCCAGCTGAGCCAAGACTCAGCTAGAACATGAGGGGGCTGCCTGGGCTTGCTCCCACATGCCAGCCAGGCTGTGCTGATGCTGGGTAGGGTCCAAGCGCTGGCACCAGCCCCGGGGGTGTGGAAACGGGAGGGCAGGTCTGGCAGCAGAGTGCCAGTCACTGGCAGTCAACCCCTGGACAATGCAGAGCACCCACAGCTGTGAGGTATTGCTCCAAGAGGTCATGTTTCTAGGAGTGAGGTGCCTGGGAGGGCAGTGCATGTGCCTTAAAACCAGCTGGAAATCTGTGTATGGCATTAAGCAGGAGCCTGGAAGAAAAGGCAGGACTTGGATTAGCTTCAAAATCTTTAAGCCTTTCATAGACTTGACCAGTCAAAGGTCTGAAGGACACACGGCATGTTTTGTTGCCAAGCTCAGACCCAGTTTAAGTTATACAGCTCTTCCCCAGGTCTCAAGCACTAAACGGATGCTAAGCATTTAGAAAAACCTTCCACCCCACTTAGGAGCTTTTTAAGTCTAACCTTTCCAAGTGTCTAATCAACCAGCTTGCCGCTACCATACTGCCAAAATCCCCACGCTGTGCTGCTTTTCAAAGAAAAACCTTCAGACATGCTATAGCTGGATGATTTAATAGCCATGCACCAGATCTGTGCACCTATGGACTGATTAAGGCATAGCACTGCATAAATGACTTGTATCTGTTCTATCTGTGTACATACTGGCATACTGTAACAGCGTGCTGCTCATTGCCATGTTCTGGCCAGGCTCTACATACATAGGAGGATAAAATGTCTGCCTTTCAGAAAAGCAGCATGGCAGTGGTGTAGGCTCTGCCATCTTTCCTAACTTGCAGTTCAGTAGAAGCACAGCCAAGACAGGCAGGAAGGATAGCTCCATGCTCTCACAAGCCCTGGTAGACAGGCCTGTACCCATGTCCCAGCCAGGAAGGTATAAATGTAGCTTAAAGGTATGTTGGCTGGTGCTTGACTTGACCTTTGGCTTTTCATAGCTTCTGGCTTTACCTCTCAGAGTGAGGCATCTGGCCACCAGAAACTAAGGTTGTCCACCTCTTAGGGCTTCAGTGGGTCAGTTTGTAGAACTGATCTGAACTAGACAGATCCTAAAACAGAGGTACCAAACCTCATAAATGTGTGGCAGTGAAATAGAATGAAAGATTATTGTTTCATCACACTGGAATTGCCCAACCTCAGTATAATGAGAAGGGCTGAAAAAGAAAGTCCCTGAGCAGTGAGTCATATTCTATTTCTGCAAGAGCTGCAAGGCTGAACCCAGACTGCCACTAATTCTAGTGGTTAGCATGCATCATAATTTTTTTCAACAGGAACACTGTGCATCAAATAAGGGGGTGGATTCTATTGTGCTTTTCTATTCTATTCTATTGGTTTTCCAGAGGAGTGGGTATATGTCTACATTGCAGTCAGCGATGCAGCATAGAGCCATCTGATCAAACTTAAAGTACCTGGACCAGGGATCGAAAGTGACCTAGTTCTGCCAACCCATGGACATACACCCAGCTTTCCACTGCCTCCTCCTTCTGTGTCCATTTTCAAAGCAGGGCTACATGTGGGGAACCGAAAAAAAACCCTAATGAACACACAAAGAAAAATCCAAACAAAAAACCCCCAACACGAGACTGCTGGTTTACGGTAACCCAGCATCAGATAAGCAAGTGGAAACTGAAACAGAAACTTGCCCAAGGAATGACTTGGCACGTTTTTAAGAGCAGATTACAAAGGGGAAGCTCTTTCTTCAGGAAGCCAAAGCTTTGCAAAAACACTTGCATTTGTTATTTAAATAGCAAACCCAGAACAATGGCTATTTAAAAACAACAATAGAAGAACAGGAACACAGAAATAAAAGGCTAGGAGGATGATCTTACATCAGGCCTGAGAATCGCAAGTGATCACAGGAGCCAGGGGTGTGTTCAGAAACTCCACAAGCTGCTTTGCTGCTCACCCACACTCCAAACTGTAGAGTAACTCCTGCTGCCCCGCAAGTCAACCAAACACCTGCAAGAAGACAGAAACAGGGTCATTATTCCAGTGTGGCACCAGAAGAATGCAAGAGCAGCTCAAGACAGCTCCGGGATACAGGATTGCTGCAACATGAAATAAATGATTTTTAAAGTTATCCTGGAGACTGCCAGTTCTTGAAAACACATGGCTGAGGAATGAACTGCTGAGTACAAAGAGTCTGAAATGTTTCTGTACATGACAAGCATATTAAAGTGTGAGATAGCCGTAGGCTTATTTCCTATATGGAGCAGAGGAAAGGAAAACAATACAAACTAATCTGTGAGAAGAATAAAACTGTATTGGAAAAAGTCTTGAAGTTAGATTTCTTTTTCTGAGGGAAGATACAACCTCAAAACTCACATTCCCTTCTTACTGTTTGTTGATACTTTGATTTTGGACTTGAAAAGCAAACCCACATTCCTGC